TCTCTGTGTGTCTCTGTGTGTCTCTGTGCGTCTCTGTGCGTCTCTGTGTGTCTCTGTGTGTCTCTGTGTGTCTCTGTGTGTCTCTGTGCGTCTCTGTGTGTCTCTGTGTGTCTCTGTGCGTCTCTGTGCGTCTCTGTGCGTCTCTGTGTGTCTCTGTGTGTCTCTGTGCATCTCAGTGCGTCTCTGTGTGTCTCTGTGTGTCTCACTGCGTCTCTGTGCGTCTCTGTGTGTCTCTGTGTGTGTCTCTGTGTGTCTCTGTGTGTCTCTGTGCGTCTCTGTGTGTCTCTGTGTGTCTCTGTGTGTCTCTGTGCGTCTCTGTGTGTCTCCGTGTGTCTCTGTGAGTCTCTGTGCGTCTCTGTGCGTCTCTGTGTGTCTCTGTGTGTCTCTGTGTGTCTCTGTGCTTTGTGTGTCTCTGTGCGTCTCTGTGTGTCTCTGTGTGTCTCTGTGCGTCTCTGTGTGTGTCTGTGTGTCTCTGTGCCTCTGTGTGTCTCTGTGTGTCTCTGTGTGTCTCTGTGTGTCTCTGTGTGTCTCTGTGTGTCTCTGTGTGTCTCTGTGTGTCTCTGTGTGTCTCTGTGTGTCTCTGTGTGTCTCTGTGTGTCTCTGTGTGTCTGTGTGTCTCTGTGCGTCTCTGTGTGTCTCTGTCTCTGTGCTGTGTGTCTCTGTGTGTCTCTGTGTGTCTCTGTGTGTCTCTGTGTGTCTCTGTGTGTCTCTGTGTGTCTCTGTGTGTCTCTGTGTGTCTCTGTGTGTCTCTGTGTGTCTCTGTGTGTCTCTGTGTGTCTCTGTGTGTCTCTGTGTGTGTGTGTGTGAGACTGAGTGTGTCTGTGTGAGTGTGTGTCTGGGCGTGTGTAGGTACGTAGGTAGGTGTAAAGATCTCTCTCCCCAACAGCCGCGAAGCGAAGGCAAAGCAAAACGGCCCGCCTCCAGGAACTCGGAGAGTACATCGCCCAGATGGCTCAGATAGCTGAAGGGAGGGGTGTTTTCGATGATAATTGTGCCGAGGCACTGCATGAGCGCATCCCCCGTCTGCTGGGAGCAGGCAGAAAGTTCATGGCCCACATTGACCGTGGCTTTCAGCGGAGGAACCTTGTCGATGATCTTGGTGCCAAGGCACGTGACGAGGCCACTGTTCAAATGCCAATTCGGACAGTCCAGGTCCCGTCCCACCGTGATCATCTTCTGAACTTGCTGGACGGCGCTGTCGCCAGGAAAGTTCAGCTCCTCCACCTTCTCGATCGTCTTGCCCGCGAAGCACTTCACGGCTTCACCAGGCAAGTGCCAATTCGCGCAACTTTGGAGCTCCCCTCCAAGGCTCATCGCCCCCTGAACAAACGTGAGAGAGGTGGTGGCCACCGTCTTAAGCTGGGCAAACAAATCGACGATCTTGTTCCCGATGCACCTCACGGCTTCACCAGGCAAGTGCCAATTCGAGCAACCGGCGAGCTCCCCTCCAAGGCTCATCGCCCCCTGAACAGTCGCGAGAGAGGTGGTGGCCACCTCCTTCAGCGTCCCTGGTAGGTCGATAGTCCCCAAGTCCAGCTCCCACTGCTTGTTCACATTGATCAAATTGATCTCAATCTTAATTTTGCCGAGCTTCAGCTTCCCAGTGCTTGTGTCGAAACTTGGCACCTGGGGCCTGTGAAGCTTCACCCAAAAGTCCCGAAAGCCTGGGAGATCGAGGACATTCTCCAGGAGCGTCGTTGCCTTCTCCACGGTGTCAAACGCGTGAGTCGCCAGCTGGTCTTTGGCATAGTTCACCTCCACTTTATTATTGGGGATTAAGGTTTAGGGTTTATCTAGTTTATTTGGTTTAGGGTTTAGGATTTAGGGATTTAGGTGCTCGGGGGTGTTGTGTGAACTGTGAGACTGCTGACACTTACTATGCTGCATGTCAAAGCGAAACCGGCAGTGGCATCAGACGGCAGCAATGATGCGGCCCCTCACTTTCATCTCGGACCCCCTACTGGGCTCTTTGGGCCCCCTACGGCCTTGTCAGCCGTGGAAGAAAGTGCATCGAATCCACTTTTCAAGGTACCCACCGGATCGGTGACCCAGTCTATCGGATTAATCTTCTCCGCATCCTCCTTAGTCTCGGCTGCGAGGCTTGCGGTCTCGTTCTTCGAAGCTCCAAGGCCTCGCCAGAACGCGGGCAGAGGCAGAGGGTGCAGCATTTTACAGAACACTCTCTCGACTGCGGCTTGGGCTCCGGTCCGGCGCTGGTGCTCGTGCTTCCGCCAGACGTTCTTCAGGACGGCCGTGGTCTCGTCCAGCCGGGTCTTGGCTTCCTCTTCCGACTGCGTCTCCAGCAAGATGCCGCGGGGCTTGGAAGGCACCTCGGCGGTCGGGGAGTCGGAGTAGCTGTGCCGCTCTTTCTTAAGGGATGCGATCTCCAGGCGGTGTGTGGCAATCTCCGCTTGCTGCATTTCGGCAAGAGCCTCGAGCTGCGCCACCTTCACAAGAAGGAAGTTCAGGTTCTTTCCGAGACCACCCAAGCCATCTCTCTCAGCGCTGCTGGCATCTTCGGGCCCCTCGACACTTCCGGGAGGCCCCTGAGTCTCTGTGCCGCCCAGCGGCTCCGACAACTTGAAGGACAAGCAGCCGGCAAACATCACCATCATGATGCGGATGAGGCAGGTGCCGCCCGCAAACTTTGCCATCGCAAGCAACCGAAACACCAAAGTGGAGGGATCTGAACCCCAACTTCGTTGATATCAGTAAATGGCTGCCGACTTCGCACGTCGCGAAAACATGCGAAAACCAGGACACGTTCCACAGCAAGCGTGTCACAAGGGTGCTTCTCGAGGTGCCTAGCTTCTTTCTGATTTTCTACTCCGGTCTCAAAGAAAACCGCTCTTGCATCATTCGCTTGCTCAGGAACTGCTTGGCCAAAAAGCCAGTGAGCCGCAAAAATATTCTATTTGCAACGGTTTTGCGGATGGAAAGTTCGTATCTGCAACTGCTGGGGGTTGGTAAAAACGTATGGTTTTACCAAATTTAAAAGCTATTCTAGCTGCACTGTGCCTAAAACACCATATTCTATCTGCAAAGTCCCCACTATAGTGGAAACGACGCAGAAACATGTTTCACGGTCGCGGCGAGATCTCGAATTTCTCACAGTAAGAGCCGGGCGACCGCCTGTGTGCCACAGCAGTGATCTCAGTCCTTTCTTTGAATGTGATTCGACCTGGGAAGTGCTGATGCGATGCGGCTTTCTTCGGAGATTGTTTGTCATGCGCGGTCTTCGTGGAATCAAACGATTGAAATCTTTGTATGAGAGCACGAGCACGGCTTGTGCCTCCAGCGGAGTCCCAAAGCTGAGCCGAGCTCGTGCATGGTGTACGGGTCACAAAAAAATGACAATGCCTCGGGAAATGTGCAAATTTCGGTTTGGCGCCCTGCCCCGCCCTCCCTCCCTCCGCACCCCACCAAAATGACACAAAAACGACACCAAAATTACAAAAAAATGACAATGTTCCGGGAAACGTGCAAACTTCGATTTGGCGCCCTGCTCACAACTCCATGAGTTAACAGGTGAGTATATACGGCAGGCCCCTTCGTTGGATGTATTCGGACAAACATATATCTTATTTATGTATATATTTATATACATACATTTTGGGGATTTGATCTTGATGTTGTCCTTGTTCGCTCACCCCACCGAGCTAATGAGTGTGTGGTTGCCCTCAACAGACTCGATAATCTCTCACTCCCACTTCCACGCTTCATGGCAGGCAGACTCGGTACTCGCTGGTTTTCTCGATCGAGGGGCGCGACAAGTCGTCTATGAGGTCACAGAAGGCTACAAGCTATAGTTGGTTTGTCGCATCAGTTTCTTGAGCCAAAGTTGCGTTGGTGGGATATAGAACACAATTCTGCTTTGTTGCACGCGAAGCGTGACCACAGGCGAACACATAGAGACAAGGTGCGCGAAGCGTGCCGTTGGTCTTGGCTGTACATATTAGAACTCATAGCTGCTCTTATAGCGACACCACAGAATCGGACTAGGTACCGAGGTCCGTTCGCACCCCCCATGAGTCGTGCTCCAGCACTACTGAAAGTTTAAACCTTTATACCAGTATACTTCTTATAATCACGGCACGAACTTCGGATTCTTTTCCACTCTAAGCTCCACTGTTGGGCCGTGCTTGAGCCTTGGTTTGACCTGCGGTGAAACACTGGATTCCTGTATGTTTCTGTACATAGGGGAAAATTGAACTATCTGTTACGCCCTCATCGCATACACAGCTTTGTCGTGTAATGCGGTCATTGTGAAACTTTTCCTACATCCACCACGGTTCTCGCATGCTCCTGTGAGCTTTAATCTTCACTTCTCGCACGCTTTTCAGCACTTTTAACCGTCTTTGACTTCTTTCTTCTTCTTCCTTGTGTGCTTGTTGTGGATGTCGTTGGCTTCTAGTCCTGTAAAAGGAAAACTGTTAAACTGACCATTGTTTTACAACAGTCTCACTTGCCAACTACAAACTCAGGCGCTCTCACTATTTTCCATCGCGCGGTACACGAGGTAGTTTGCTCGGCATAGCTCTTTCAGAGTCTTTGCAAAAGAACTTTGGCTTTGTGAGTCTTTTGTGCTGGCTCTTTCAGCCTTTTCTTTAAACACGTTCGTTGTGCTTTGTCGTGGGACTTTAGCCTTTGCTGTTGATGGCGTTGGACGCCTTTCCGTGAAATTCCGCTCCTTTCTTGGAATCCACTTTCAGCATAGCTTCATCCTTCTGACATGCAAGGATAGGCTTACTGCCCCTTCTTGCACCGATTGTGAAACATGCATCGGCCTTGTTTAAACACCTGCCTTTACGGTGTCTTCGCTTGCCCTGGGTGGCTCTCCGCCTTCACTCAACTTGGTCCTTTAAACCGCAACCTTAGCATGTCAAGGTTTAAATCAGCTCTTCTTCCTCTTGATCCTTCTTCTTCTTTGCACCTTCCTCTTGATCGAAGCTGGACTCATGCTTTCTCTTCTTCTTGGTGCCTTTGTCCTTGCTGTCCTTGGACTTATCAGCCTTCTTCTTCTTATTTTTTTCATCCTTTTCATCCTTTTTCTTTTCAGCCATTGTCCTCTTCGGCTTCATCGTCTCTGTACCCCAACTGCTCTGTGGTGGGTAACCACTTGCATACTTTTCAGCTTCCTTCATCTCTTTGACTTCATCAGGAAACTTGTTGGGATTGCTACGAATGTAGTCTTCAGCATCACTCTTGTGAAAACAAATGTCTGGACTGTGCGCTCCCCATCCTTTGTATGGGTACTCTTTATTTCTGCAATAGGTATACACAATCCAACACTAATTGCAGAAGATCTTCCTTGCTTCGTTATCCTTCCTTGGCTTCGGCGCTTCCGGGCAATACCGGTCGATGGCCTTGAAAATCTCCGGGCACTCCGGTGCTTTGTGACCATCACTTCGCTTACAGTAGAAACAATGAAGATACTTTGGTCCCTGCTTGAGCCATCTTTCATTCACGTTCTTCAGCTCTTTACCTGGCGGCTCTCCTTCAGGTTCACTCGGCTTCATATGCCCGAGATCCACCTTCTTCTCTATCTCTTCCATAGGGATCTCCTTGAACTTCTGCTTCAACTTCTCCTTCAACTCTTTCTGCTTCTGCAATGTGTTTGCAGCTTTGATCTCTTCATCTTCTATGATGCTCTTCTTGAACTTTTCGGGTATCTTCTTCGGCTGAGGCTTCTTCGGTGTTTCTTTGACCGAATCTTTGGCCGAAGATACTGACGGCGTAGCGGGATTTGAACCCTGGCTTCCTTCTCTCTTCCGCTTGACACGCGCCATCAGTTGGGCTAATACTGCCCTTCCTTTCACTTGCTGTTCCTCCGGCTGCTTGTATAGGTCCAACTCGAATTCTTCACTCATAGTCTTCAACAACCTATCAGCTGTTTGAACCATTTCGCCAAATTTCTGCAACGCTTCTCTTGCAACCGTTGCACTTTTAACGTCAGCACGTGCGCTAGTGACGTCTTCTTCTTTTTCTCTGACGACTTTCACCTTCTCTTCCAGTCGATTTTCCATCTCTTTCCTCAGCTCCTTCTCGAACTTTTCCAGGTCCTTTTGAGCTTCTTTGAACTCTTTCTCTGCATTTGCTTCATCTTCCATCATGATCGATATGCTTTCACCATACTCACCAGCTTCTCCATCGAGCTTGGAAAGCAAATCACTTGTCTTGATTCCAAAACCTGTCGGCAACTTTGCGACTGGCTTGCGAGCTGTCTCAGACCATTTGATAAATTCACGTTCGAGGTCTTCACTTGGGAGGTTCTTCTGGATGCTGTGCAGATTGACATTATCTGATACAGTCTCCCAGATTCCCATCTCATCCACATTGAACTCGTCCTTCAATGCCTTCCTTGCTCGCTTATCCTCTTCACCTGAGGACTCAACCAATTCCTTCTCTGGGTCCGGCTTGTCCTCCTTGACCTCTTCCTTTTCTTCTTTCTTTTCTTCCTTCTTAGCTTCTGCCTCACTTGCGACTTGGCTCGCCGCTGATACTACGCTTTGTCTCCTTTCCTTAGCTTCTTCTGCTATGTTTTTGAGCTCTTCCAAACGCTTGTCCATGACCTTGCCTTGTTCGATAATTCCTGCCCTGATCTCTTCCGGCAAGACGACCTTCTCTGACGCTAGGGCTTCAACCCTTTCCTTTCTTGCACTCTCGAACTCTTCTTTCTCCTTTTCCAGCTCTTCGGCCGTCTTCTTGAAGCTTTCCAGGTCCTCGTTCTCTTTTTTCCTTGTCCTTCTTCGCCTTGTCGTTTTCATCATCTTCTTCCGACTCACTTTCTCCTTCTTCATCGGATTCCGGATCGGACGCAGCTTCACTTTCTTCTTTCTTCTTCGGCTGCTTCTCTTCTTTTTCTGCCTCTTCATCTGTAGCTTTGTCTTCTCTATCCTCGTTCAACGTCTCTACAAGCTTCCAGACTTCATCCACTGAGGGCCTGTCTTCTCTCTTTTGCTTTAGAAGACGCTCTATATATTGAACCGATTTGAGGCTTTTGCACTTGTCAGTCATAACGACCTTCAGGCCTTCATCATCAGCCATTGCTTTGGCTTTCTCTTCTCTTCTATCTCTTCCAAAGAGGTTCTTCTTGAAACTCTTGTAATGTATATCAACACGGTTGTACATATGCACATCATACACATCACTGCGCTTGCTCTTCCCAGTCCTTGTTCATCTTCTTCACCGACTTTTCTTGATTCAGTCAACGATAACAACACATCTGTCGTGACCGTCTGAATAATCCTTGTAATCACCTTTTCATCGAGTCTTGTGACACTTCTTGATCTTCGCATTTCAACTTCTTCTTGGACTTCTTGAACATCTTGTGTCAAATACTCACCTGTATATCCCAGACTTAGCATGTGTTTCCTTATTTTCTCTCTTGTCAGGGATTTTGTTCCTAAGTCCGACGGATTGTCCTTTCCTGCTATCGCCTTTATAATCAGCTTCGGGATTCTTTGGATCCATTATAGGTCCACGTCTAAATGACGTGCCTTGCCTAAACCTTTTCTTGCGATCAATTGCCTTGAGCTTGACGAATCACTGTATAACATCAGTCTTGGTTCCACTCCTAGGATTCTTGTCAGCAATCCTTTCAGGAATACACCTTCAGACAAGATTGATGTCGCTGCGATTGTCTCGGCTTCGC